ATCGGCTGATATTTGACAGGACCACAGGATCGATCGGCGCGCGAGATACGAGGTCTTTGGAACGCTAGTGTCGATATTGGAAAAATGTGGAAAATCTTGATGCCAAACCGCGACGAATATTATTACTCAAGCGAAGTGATCGAAATTATAGAACAGTGCGAATTTGTGTTGCATAATTTGGCAAACAAACTATCCTCAGAACCACCGCACACACACACACACACAGGAACAGAATTCCAGATACGGTCTCAGCCAGCTCCATGGGTTACAGGCGAGATTCATCTACTCGTTTTATCCGTTCATTTTTCTCTCGTACATGGACTCTCGCGTTCAGAAAACGAGTGTAAAAACAAAGAAACATCTTTGACAAACCTAACTTAACACTTTACTTTGTCACCGAGACACTCCCCAGAGACCCGAAGGCGCGGCGCAACGCCGAGTAAAATCGCTTTCGCTTCGGGAGAGACTAATAATATCACGCATCTGCCGGTATATTGCTCCGTGGAAAAATGCGATTGTGTCTACAATGTGCTCCTGCAACGCTCCTTCTACGATTCATTTGCCGAGCGTGCACTTGTACACACATGTACACATGCGCACGCGACACGTGGGCGAGCCTCTTGGCAGCCTTAGAGCGGCGAGATGATACACGACGCGGCCTCGTTGTTAGTTACAGCGGTCTCTAGTCCGGTCAGCACCCCGCGGAGCGGTCAGAAGAGAGGAAGAAACGAAGAAGAAAGTATGTCGTCTGCGCTCGCGAGGTTGATTATAGGGAGAGTCGCGCCGTCGTGGAGGTTGCACTCCTTTATCGCAATTTGCGGCGCGAACGACGTCGCACGGTGTTGCGTGGTTCTCTGCGCACGTCCACGAGAACGAAACGTTCGCCTTGAATAGGGAATGATTATTATAGATATACGACATTGATCGTATGCACGCTCCCGCCGTCGACCGGTATCGTAATATTTCTGGTACGATCAAATCACGAACTATACAACAAAGTTAACTAGTCATCAAAACTTTTCCACGGGGAAGAGAGGTCTCAGAATACTAAGAGCGTTATGCTAATTTGGTGTCTCAAGTACGTCCATTATTTCGGGTGGGGTTGAGAACGCGTATAAACGTAAATGATGGTTAAGTCTTTGGGATTCGTGCGATAAGGAAGAGACGCAGTCTCCTAATGACGATCTTGGCTTAGTCAGTCCTTTATTCGTCCTTCCCAACGCGATAAATAATAATAATATCTGTCATCGGTAAACCAAAGGGATAAACAATCTCTACAAGAGCCACCCTCGCCTTAACCTTATCGCCGACGAAGATTAGAGGGAGAGAAAGAGACGAAAGAACGAGAAGGATGAAGAAGGATGAAGAAGAAGGTTGTGAAGTAAAGACGCGTTAACCTCCCCTACCACAATCATCTAAACTCGGCAAAACACCGCGCGGTCGTGCACGCCACTGCAATTACATCCAACTGGATGTAACTGCCGCTTTTTGTGTACGCTAGTACAATCGTATACGCTAATTCACAGAGGCTTTGACTTGGAACAGGCCGCGCCGCGCTTCCCTTTTATCTGGACGTGGTTGCTGCTGCAATTATCCTGATTTTTCTAGGTCAGCCGAAAGCGGGACGCGATCGTGAAAGCCTTGGGCCGTGCCGGATACGAAGGGTCCCACTGTTAACTAACGAGATACGGCTCGGTGAGCTTGAATTAAAGAATTTAGCCTGATGTTCTTGTGTAATTGACGTTACGGCAAATTACATGGCGAGATTGGACTTTTCGTAACGATTAAATTTTAATTTTTAATTCGGTCGGAGACTCTCTCTCTCTCTCTCTCTCTCTCTCTCTCTCTCTATAAGAAAAAGATAAAACTTATAAGAACTGTGTGCTGGATGTGTATTAAGTATTTCAGTTGCGAGGAATGCTCGGTGATCGAATTGATACCTTAGTGGTAAAACCAATTGTGGGATAAATTTGGGTATTCTAATCAGATGCAGTTATGTTGCATCCGAGAAAGTCTTGGGATATCTCTATGTGGAACAAAAAAAATCTCTGCTTTGTACGTATCTTCTTAGATTCAGTCTGTTATCGTGTATGACGCTATCGCAGCATAGTCTATGTATTCGCTTGTGCCGAGCATCCGTTGGATCTCGTGGCAGCATAAAGGGTGTGTATAACACGTGATTCATTGTAAATGAAGCTAAGTATCTTCTGCGAAGCATGCTCGCGCGCGCGCGCAAGTAATTGACTCGAGATTATCGGCACTTTATCGACGATATTTATTGGGAGTAAAGCGCGGGATATTTTTCACAGGCCGCGATGGGCGGGAGAGACTAATTACGATAAATTTTCCTTTGTCGAGCTATCGAAGTGGCATGCGCAGGATACAGAGACGGATACGGCAGGGATACCGGAACGAGATATTCGTTGTTGCCGTCTGTATCTGCCTTGCTTTCAAGGATTCGATATCGAATTTCGTATGTCTCCGTAAAAATAAATAACAGCGCAGTGATATATAAAATGTTCCTCTTTCTAATAAATTGTTTCTCAAATGTGCATAATGTCGTTCATCAGAGGAGAGAGTATCTCTTTTTCATATTATTTAAATATTATTGTACTCGGACAGCGACGTTCCTCTTGAAAAGAAAGAGGAGGGCAAACAGAAATCGTGCGTCAATCCGGGGTTAAAACGACTTTAAAAATGCAGCATCTTTTTCCCATAAGAATCGCATTACCGCGAAATGGAGACTCGATGATGCAGAGAAGCTCCGGCTTAAATCGTAAACCGACGCGCTCGCGACACATCGGGACCCGATGAGAAAGTCGCTGCAGAGGGTATGCAAAAATGGCGAATTATGCAGAAATAAGTTCGCCGTTTGGCGGAACTGTTCTCTCATCGGGTCACGATTTCTCGGGACCTCGCGGGTCGCAACTCCACGCACGAAATTCCCAGCCGACAATGACGCCCCGGGCGACACGCGCGAGCGTTTTCCCACGATTTGCATCGAGAAGACGTCGTCCTCGTCGACCTGGCCACGTTAAGCCCACCATTCACGCTCATCTTCGCGCTACGTCGGCCGATTAGCCAGACAGTGTTTCGATAACGTCGCGATTCCTGATAAGTGCTCGAGAGTGCACGACTAACGAGTACAGGGTATTACCACTACTACTATTAATACTACCACTAAGACACTCGAGTCCTTTCCTTCGAATGTAGTGGCTTTCCTGCGATCGACGTGTTGCAATATGTGGACATTGTGGACAAGACGTGTCCGATAGTCAAAAATATTCTAGAACCGAAAGACATTTAGAGGAAATCGAGGCAAGATAGTATATTTCCTCCTATGATAAATACATGAACAAAACATATGGACAAGTCTTGAGGCCAACTAGACCCGATTTTTCTCATCGATGTCTTTCACGCGATACGCTAAAAAAATTACTTTTGTACTTGGAAATAAAATATTTTTTACATATGATTTTGTTGACATTATCATGTTTTTACTTATGTCAAGTAAATGTATTATTAAGAAAGCAAGATACAAGTGGCAGTGAAGTTTTTTGATTGCATTACATTTTGGTTGATCTTATTTTAACCAAATTATGGCGTGATGTATGAAATTTTCGTTTCGACAATAAAATCCTTTCTTCAATGTAAGTATCTTGCTTTCTTAATAATACATTTACTTGACATAAATAAAAACATAATAATGTCAACAAAATCATATGTAAAAAATATTTTATTTCCAAATACAAAAATAACTTTTTATCATATCATAGGAGGATTTATCATAAGAGGAAGTATACTATCTTGCCTCGATTTCCTCTAAATATCTTTCGGTTCTAGAGTATTTTCGACTATCGAACACGTCTTGTAAGTATATCACCAACATAGTGGCTGCACGTAGCACTGCCAGTCGCGACCATTACATCGATCTGATCCTGTAAACGTGACTCGGTTTCGCGTCGTTGTCAGCGTTTCAATTAACAGCGTCTAAGTTGCGCGCATTTTTCGCGGTGGCTGAGATTGTTGTGCGTCGTTGTGGGCTTTTGTTCCGGCTCATCCGTTGCGACGCGGCACGCACGTGGGTGTTGCGCACCCACGTGGCGTGGATTTGGTGTCTTTCTCTCTATCTTTTTCTTTCTCTCGTTCGCTCATTGCCCACGTCGTCCGTCCGTCTGTCTGTCCGCATAAAGAAACGTAGAGCGACGGGCAGACGTGGTTAACGGTACTCGAGGAGTCCCTCTACCACCACCTGGCATTATTCCATCCACGTCCGCCCCGCTTCTTCTTCTGCTTCTTCTTCTACTCCGTCTTCCTCCTCCTCTATCTGACCTGATTTCCTGACCCACTACTGTCCGCGAAGGGATCGGGAGAGACAGAAAGAGAAAGAGAGATGGAGACATGCTCTCGGTTGCTAATTCAACTACGGCCGTTAATTTTAGCGACACAGTAGTCCGCCCGATATCAACGGACACCCGCCGCGATACTTACGGTATTATATCGATACGTCGCTGCGGAGAACAATCGACGTCAGTCTCCACGATCGGGAGATTAATGATCGGGTGTCCTATATCCGGGCGGATAACGTTGCTTTCTCTTTGTTAGTGCCGAGTCATGGAATGATACGAGTTGTATGCGCGCGTGTGCACGCGCGAGAATTCCGAAGCGTAAATAACGCAAAAATCGGCAAGATATCGACGGGACATCTAAGAAACGCTTGTCAGATAAGAACCTTCCCATTTACTTCTTATAAGACAAAAAGCGTAGAGTGATCGCGTTAAATAATCATAAACAAAATTCTCGTTGTAAAACGTCGGGGCAGCAATAGTTTTCAAAGGACATCCTGTGGTTTTGCGACAACCACTGGAAGACAAGATAGCTATACTTAACATTCTTCACTGAAACTGTTGTGTTACTGTCTAGTAAACAAAAAGGAATCGATGTATAATTTAAAAGTTGTAAAAAGATACCATGTTTAGAAACTTTACCAGCAAAACACTGACTTTTTTCTGCAAAGATTGTTTTATTGGTTGTACAAAATTGCAAATGCTCTCACACAATAAATGTAAAATTAAATTGGAGCATTGCTCAATGTGAGCTTATGTGAAAAAAAATGATAAAAAATTTCAAAATTGGCTTATCGAGCTCTGTCAGCGTAAATATTTACCCGATACAAAGTTCTGCAAGCGATACAAAATTTGAACATATTTGATGTGCGTTCGTTCCGTTCAGAAAAATTTCAAAAAACATCGCTATACCGGCTGAGTTTAGAAGCTAAAAATACATAAAAAGTTTGCAAAAAAATATCTATATATGCGCGGATATTCTGTTAAATATGATAAAACAAAACGGCACAAATTTAAATAAGATCTGTATATTCGAAATGTGTAGCATGATTGTGTTGGTGTTGATCGACGATGTTTTGACGATCGCTTGTACATTATGAACGTTTTCGGAATTCGCCATCTATTTGGCACCTCGTTAACTCCAATAAGAGAACAGCGAAATAAGTCTATCTCTGATAACACGATTACTTAAATTAAATCCAACGGAGAAAATTTATCGATTATCCGGCGGAGAAACGTCGTAAAATTGAATACTTGTCACGAAGCGCACCCTCTTCGCGCCTTCTTCGTACAAACAGCGGAAATTCGCCAGGCGACGTGATCGTAAGATCGAGGGTGCGTCTCGGAAGTCGGGGAGAAAGAGAAAGAAGAGGAAACCCCTCAGTCGGCTTACGGAACATTGCGGGGAATCTTGTACGGTTATACCGTGGCATTATCTAAGATTCGATAGAGCGTACGACGGCGTGTTCGAGACAGAGCACCGGAAGCGAGCACTCGACCGCGTAGTTCTCCCCTAGCCAGCGAGCAGGACAGGCGAAACGGAAGCGACCGTGCTCGTCGTCCGTGACGAGCTTTTGCACGAGCTTTTGTTCCCTCGGCGAAAACTTTTGCAAGTGTGAGCGAGCGAGTGAACTCGACTTCTCATAGCGCATTCGGGAAAAGCTCCTTTTTCTTCGCGCACGCGCGGCCGTGGCACCTCGTGGATTACTTTCTTCGAGAAGCACTTCCGCCCCGCACCGGTGAGAAACTTCTAAAACGTGACAAAGCCCTCGCGCAGGAGACCTCCCGTCTCCTTGTCCCGCACGAAAACATCCGGACTGCGAAACACGAAAAGGACGAGCGCACGTGTTCGATATACGAGAAATCACGAAATTGCGTTCGTTCAAATGCATTATATGCATGTTTATAATTCATTCGCACATTACGTAATAATAGATGTGTGATAATTTTAATAGTATTATATATATTCGATATATCTATCTATTCATTCGATTTTGTTCCAATTCGAAGCTCACGTGAATGTGGTCCCTGAGAGTGCAACTCTGCGGCCGGACTTTGAGTGAGTTATTTCGACATTTCGGTGAGTTACAGAAACAAGTTGAAAACCTGAAAAGTTTTGAGTAAAAAGATTTAAGGTGATGGGTATTTGTAGGAACCCGATAAAAAATCAATGCGATTTACTTATACATTTTTATATATATTGAGACACACTGTTTGAAATAATTAGGAGATCATTTTTTTAAACGTTCGTATTACAAATACTTGAAAGATTGAATTTAAAAAGTGTACACTTACATAAATTATCTTATGTTTGATTTAAAATACAAAAATATCCGATAAAATTGTTTATTCATTGTGATTTCCTAATTATTCCGAACAGCATGAAATGCATATCAGAATTGCATTACCAAGTGCGAAATATCGTGATTGCTTAATTCGTTCGTGTTAATAAATTTTATAATCGCGCTTATAAATTTTTTAAAATTTTCATGTGTGATGCGAAAAAATCATTTCGGTTAAAATTATAAATTAAATTATTCTTATGAATATATATATAATAATTATATAATTTTTGCTTGGTACATATGATTGTTTGCCTAAAAACTTGAATTTTTATAAAACGAGAACCGCGTTTTTCGCGGTACAGTACAGTCGTGCGCAAACCGAAATGTTTTCTTTATTTCCTGCGGCCTTGTCGAAAAAATGTTTTCAGTCCACGATTTTTTATACGTAATTCGTAATTTGCGAATATATTGTTGAATCGCTGCAATATATTATGCGTTTTTCGTGTAATCATAAAACGACCAGAATTATCGTGCCCACAGATGTTCCTTAGACTGCAAAGGACTTACCAATCTTAGACCGGTCGGCGCATTATTTTCTCTGTTGGCTCAATTTCCTATCTTTGTTGAATTGTTTAATATTTGCTTATCTCAAATAAATCTTCAGTCAAATCAGTTTATGCATACATTACTTACCGAAATGAAGAATAAAGATTAAGTGGAAAATTAAATGGAGTAAACATTAATAAAGAGAATAAAAGTTAAATAAAGAGTATTGAGATAACCAAATATTAAATAATTCCAACAAAATTTCAACTCGACGGAAGTTGGACACCGAAGCAGCCGGACGAAGCAGCGCATTCGGGATTTCACCAGCGGACACTGTGGTATATCAACGTGAAATAGTGAGTACACCATTGCGCATGCAATATAGATGTAAATCGCATTGATTTCCGACGAGAAAAGTCAGTGCGTGAAATGCGTATTCTGATAATACTCACTGAGGTGATTTAATATATCACGGCTTGAGAACGGCATAAAACCAATGTTTTTAATTAACAACACGATCTATCGACGGCTGTCAATTTGCTGACAACTGCACGAAATTATAATTTAATATGTTTAAACGCGTTAAGTGACTTAAGACGGAAAGAAATGTGTAAAAAAGATTCAGCCAAAATAATATACTTTGATTTGCAGTGCAATCAATTCGTCACGAGTTGATAATGATGAATTTCGTGACAATAGAAATATAAGCGATTTAACATCAAGTTAAATTCTTTTCTCTTTTTTATACTCGAATCAAATGCATTGGAAAAAGCCTACCAGCATATATTATATTGGTTTACCGGGACAAGAGAGTAACATGACAGCTCAATGTATGCCGTGGGTCGCAATGTGTTAAAAGCTTTAGGGATTAAAGTTTTAGAGATGCGCGCTGGACAGGCGCATAAAAACTGCCTGAGAAAGGCGCTCAAAAAAGAGCGAGTTGAATTAAAAAAGAACAAAAATCAAGGAAGCAATTTCGCGCACGTAATGGCACCGCTTTCGAGAAACAACTTCGATTCGCCGTTATCGATCCAGCGAGTTCACACGCGAACCTTCAGTTTGTCAATGTAACCGTACATCAATCAGTCATAGTCAGAAACTTCGAGTATGCTCGATAGATCCGTCGTAGGAAGTCGCAAGTACGTGTATCCGAGAATATGATAGAAGAGAAGGTTGGTTCAATTTTTGTACAACAGCTCTCGGATATTCTCAATCCTGACAGGCCATTCGATCGCGACGAGGTTATAATAATCGCGTAACTAATATCGTAACATATTGTTGAATTATTAAGCATTATCTTTCATCGCAATTAGGATCTATTTCTAAAATCGAAATATATCTTAAGAACATATACGTAGAACGTCCACTAAAGTTTATATACTTTTTTGGGTGAACTATTTCGTGACAGCTGGGAAACTCGTCGTTCGTTACCAGAAGCTAATATTTGCCGTAGAATTCACACGCCCGTTTCTAATCGACGCGATCGCTCATAACCTACTCGATTCTCAATATAATAGTCGTGCGATGCGACCTGGTGCCCGGTCTGCGACAAGCAGGTGAGCGTTGAAGGAAGAGACACGTATAGACTCCTTGCACACATTCGTAAATATCATCCCAAGATCACCGGCAAATGTTTGGACAATCAGGTACTAACATTTGCTTTTCTGAGAAACGTGGAAGAATCCTTCCTCGGTATTAAGATAGCTAAAATATGGTAGTAGAAAAATCTCGCGACGTTATACGCGTTATCGCCGCGCCATATCGTAAAATATAAAACGCCATTTTGGTATTTTACATAAAAATACATACCCTCTGTATTTTACATATAAAATGTTTTTCTTTTTATATCATGTTTGAAATTTTATATCTTGTACTATTTGGTATTATGTAATATTTCATTTTTGATATGGCGGATGTTTTTTTACATTATATACCATCTCCTTGTTCGCGCACGAGAGACAGATTGAGAGAGAAACTCTCTGTCTCTCTCTCTTTTGCACGTTCCACCTCCGAACACCCTTTTATCCATCCTGTATTCCCTTAACCCACGATCTCCTCTCAGGTCGAGAGAGAATACATAAAGTCTAAAATAGGTGTAAGAGAAACCTTTGTTCCTGTAACCTCCTCGGAGAGTAAATACTAAGCGTGCGGCGAATTTCGAGGAGACGCGTCGTGTCGGACACAGTTTGCGCGCGTCGCGCTCTCGCGAGATTATCGTCGTGCTTTCTCGTTTAATTAAGTGGTAACTAAACATTCCAGTCTATTTACGATCTATTAAGCCCGAGGGAGCGAACATTTTTCTCTCAGCGCCCAGATATTTTCACGGATTTAATTATCTGCACGTTGCGCGTTTTCTTAAATAATCAAATTTTATTCGTAATTCTCTTTAAGGAAAAATTGTCTCGTAAATTAATTGAGAACTGCTTTGCCGTTCGTGAAGCTTCTTATGGACATACCAGTCGCATATTGCGTTCGAGCTTCGTGTTAATTGAATCACGTAATACGCACGAAATGGCCCTCTCTTTCTCTTTCTTTCTCCCACACACATACACATTCATTTGATCTTCGTGATTTTGCAGACGGACACGAAGGCGAAAGTATCGTCGAGTCGGATTTCATCCTCGGAAAATTCGATCACGCCGGCTTATAGCGGCAAGAAGAACGAGCCAAAGAAATTTTATGCCGCTCGCGGTAAATTCCGTTGTAATATTGTAGTTTCACGTGTTGCGCACGATACTCTAATTCGGATACGGTAAACGCTAAAGTCCTGTGCGCAATGCGAAGAGCTAAGAGGCAGTGAGAGGCAGCGGAAGGCAGAAGGGAATACAGTAGGTGGTAGTGGGAGGCAGAGGGAGGAAGAGAGAGGAAAAAAGAGATAGAGAAAGGCAGAGGATGGCAGAGGGAGATATACTTTCTTAAAGTGAATCAATGAATAGTCACTGATATCAGTTATAAGTATAGCATTGAGCACTTTTAGTGCAACACTTATAACTGCAAATCAGTTTATTCACTGTTTTCAGTGATGTTTCACTGATTCATTTTAAGAGAGTAGGGTGGCAGAGCAAGGCAGAAAGAGACAGAGGTAGGCAAAGAGAGGCAGAGAGAGAGAGAGAGAGAGAACTAATTGTTAAAATAAAAGTCGCGCGAATTGCCGGTCACTTTGTTGATACAAGATCGTATATTTCTACATGAAGTGACCGGGCGTACTTCTCTTAATTATGGCGACTGTAGGCCATTTGCAAAGCGTTCACGTTTATCCGATAAACTTTTTGCCTCCTGTTTGCATAATGTCGCTAGGCTACGGCAACCTTCGTTACCGCCCTTAACGAGAAATGGCTTTTTGTTGATCTTTCGCGACACGCGCCGTCGGCCTAGTCGAAATTCAGCGCTCACGGCTTTTTTGTCCGAGCGGCCAAGGATTAATCTTATGTCCGCTGTCCCTCGAACCGATCGGTCACGCTTGTAGATTTGCGCACACAGAGTTTGAGAGATTAATTTGACAATCGGCGGAACTTGAGTGCGGCTTTTTAAGTTTGCGCGCGGTATTCGTTTTCTCTTGGAAAGATAAATACGATATTATTTGTTTCGATCGTGATATTTATTGAACTTAACTATACATTTTTTACACTTTCGTGTACCATGTGGATTAATTCGATTACGACTATTAACACCTCCCGCGGCCGCGGGACTAATCTTCTCAGGTTCGCAAAAACTCGACCTTAAACCACAAGGCGCCGGAACTCTCCGTGCAAACTATAATTACAACGCGCACGACGTCGACGTTACGTAAGAATCATCACAGTCGTTCGCGGCATGAACACACGCTATCAGATGCTCATCAGCCGCGGGGTGCTTTGCGACAGGTGTTTTGCTTCATTCCATTAATGAGACGCGCGAAAAGGATCCGCATGATTTGCCCGTCGTGCGGACACGTTTACGGCATGTACAAAAACGCAAAGCTGCGGCCGCGCAAGACTGCCGATATCATCCGCGCAGCAGCCGACTCTCTAAACAGAATCTAAAGAGATTGATACGAGACTCAGAATATCAAAGTAGGCGTTAAATAAAATATTGGAGTAATAGTAAGATCAGAATTTCAATTCGAGAGTTCGTTTCGTCATCGTTGTTGTTATCGTGCCGATACCTCGTCGCCGATAACGAGCGTCGCTGTGGTGCCGCGGCCCTGAATAAAAACATTTTCTCCCATTTACGCCCATTTCAACATTAATATTTCAGCATCGATTGTCGACTCGATTATGCCCGGCGCGTCGGCGAGCTTAATTAAAAAGCTTTATTATTCGATATTTTAACCCACCGCTTTCTGTGCGTCGACGCGCGTGTTCTGTTATTTCAACCAGCAATTAAGGCTCGCGTGATTTTCAAACAACGAACACACGGATTCCGCGCTGTGCTCCGCGTGCGTATTACGTTTTTCACGATTGTTAACCATAAACCCCGTGCTTTTTTGTACTCTTCTTCGTGGATCGTTTTCTCTCAGAGTTGATGAAACGAGAGGAACGACGATCCCAATATGCCGGATTATCGTTGCGGAAGATGAAAGATTCATCCCAGTCGACGGAACAACAGTGAGTGAAAAGGGCTGCGGATTGCTTTTCCCTCCTCCTCCTTTTCCCGCCCACCTCACGATATATTGTTGTTTCAATATGCAGTTACGCGTCCACACGCGATCATCAGCCCGAGGCGATTTCCATAATGACTTATTACGCTCGTAATTAAACCACGGATTTTGTCGTAATCAACGGTCAGTGGTCCGAATCGGTTTACCGCAAACACGATCGAGCGCGCCGCGTTTAAAACGGTAATTAGAAATGCGTTCGTAAATTCTGTTCATTAACGTCACGCTGTTAAATGCGACTCGTGCGTGCACGACGGTCGAACGCGCGAATACTTTATGCAGCTATACTTGGTTGCGAACTATTTGAGACACAATGAAATAAGGAATGCGTGAAATTGTCGTCAAACTGAAAGTCATTATTGACAGACCTACACTGTAATCGATTACGACAGGAGATAAAGTCATAGTACGTGGTGTAGATATTAGCGCTTTATTACTCTCTTAAAATGAATCACTCAAACATTACTAAAAACAGTGAATGTACTGTACACTGATTGCAGTTATAAGAAAACTGAAAGTGATCAGTGATATACTCATAACTGATATCAGTGACTATTCACTGATTCACTTTAAGAGAGTATATTCTCATGTGTGATAAATAAAAGTACAATAAAAATACTCAAACTCGAGGAATAGACTGTCAGTAAGGTTTATCTTGTTAAGAAACATAGTAAATTTCTCTAGAATCATAATAATTTTGATGACACATTTCAGTTCCTGAAATATAAGTAGTACATATAAATTCAAAGGAATGAATTATTACAGAACGTCGACTTCTCTATTCCTCGGCTACAAAATTTGGCAGTAATGTTTACTATAGAATTCTCTCCGTGCACCTCTGATGGTTTGATGAACGCTTTACTTCATTGTGTCTAAACCGTTTGGCACAACTCAGTGTGTACACACGAATACATTTATTCTTTTAGAAGACGCGCTTTTGTAAATCGCAGCGGACGGAATACAAACGGAGGCAGCCGTCACGAAGTGGCGCGTTACTGCCGTGGGTCTCGGTGTTAAGAGGGCGTGATGACGACGATGACGATGGTGACGGAGCTCGCGCGTCAAAACAGTCGAGAAGCGCCTACTTCACGAAAGGTCCGTAAAGTCCGTATCAAATCACAGCCGGTTGGATTGCGATCGGCGATGGCAAAGCAACCGCCGATCTAGAACATTGACTGCCAATTGGGCAATGCTTCATTTTCTATAATCATCAATCGCAATTCAGTCAGCAATCGCTAGTATGATACGAGCTTAAGATTGTCCCGCGGATTCTCCAAATAGGTCGCAAATTACGGAGACGTGAAAGCTATTATTCACTCTTACAGTCGAGAACGAAACATGGAGGTACCACGGCAAATCAACTCGCTGTCCCGCGTGCGGCGTGAAGGACGTGCCGATCATTCTTACGAAACAGCAAAAGTTCACGAGTTCTCGCTTAGTCGCATTCTGCTTGTTGGGGTTAGTCTTTGAGAAAAATTGCCGAGAGTTCCGCGCAACGAGAACGGAGAAAGTGGTGATAGAACGTCGTATCGTTTGTTTGTTCGCAACCCGAGACAAAATTTTACCTTCGACTTGAGCTTCCTAACGTCTGCATATTTTAAAGAATCAATATGTTTAATATATATGAAAACTGAAATGCTAAATAGCGCTTTTAAATGGCAGCAAAACGCGTAAAGTGTCACTTGTAGGTTCTAAGGAAAACCTCGCGGTAAAACTGGTAGATTAAATAGAAGAGATTGATGTGGGTTTCAGGATATCAAAGTAGGTGTTAAATGGAATATTAACGTCGAAGGTAGGATTAAAATTTCGACTCGGGAACGAACGAGATGGAAAACAACGTAAATTGCACACAACGCATAACTCGGACGCTCGTAACGTAAATTGCACGAGTAACGGTAATAAGTAATTTATTTATTTTCACAGCGTGCACGAAACGGCACGAAAGCCCCACGATAAATCGATAGTTTAATATTAAATAAATAAAAGCGCCAAGAGGTTAGCGCAGGGTGAGCTCAAAGGAGAAAGAGAGAAAAATAGCACGCTCAGCCGCAACCGTTCCAACTTTTTCGCGTAAATTTGCGCCGATAAAGGAATTCCACGGTAAAATACGTTTCCGATAATCGCTTATTAGCGGCGGTAAAAACGGCGCTAATTAGCGAGGCGCGCGCGCCGGCGTAGCACACATACACACACATACACCTACGCTCTTTCCCCGACAATCTTTCGCGACATATAACGCGGATTTGAAAAGACTAACGTGCCCGCCATAATGTCAACGTGTCGCGCTCCGACGAAGTGCGAATCACTCCGGCTCTCGTAATTACTAAATCCCTCTCTCGTTAAATTTAATCCCGGTTCGCGGCGTTCATTTTCAGCGAATCGAATACGACGGGGAATCGCGAAATTATTCGCTTTCATAAATCACCATCGCCGTCGGGCACGTACGTGTCTGTGTATGTGTGTAACGTTTTATCTCGAAATGGAATATATTCGCGTTATCGCATCTGATTAAGCGAAACGCAACACGCGATTCCACGTAACGACGTTAAAATGCGCTGAGCAACATTTTTGATTCCGATGAGCCGGCATTTTTCTTTCCCTTCAATGCGTATTCCAAGTGATAATTCTGCTCATCGCCGCGCCATTTTGCAATAAAGCAAAGACGAGTTTTCTTTGATGATCAATATTTAATGGATAATGTTTCGACATTATGCGCGGTAAAGTATAAAACGTAACATTGCGAGGAATAATTACGCAACATATCAGAGATTACAGACGCTACTGATGAGGAAAATGTGGAGAATGCAATGTTGTCAACCGCGCTCTCTAATAAGAAAATTCTTTCACGTAGTTATAATTAAAAATTTTTATAAAAATTTACTGTACAAGGAAGAAAGAGAGAAAGAGAGTTTCACGTCGTGATAATCATAAAAGTCCATCCGGATGTTCCTCTCCTGTAAAAAATATAGATCGCTAACGCGCGATATTTGTCCGTTTGTCTGCTCGTTCGCAGATGTTGGCCGCTCTGTATCATTCCGCTGATGATGAGCCGGGATAAAAACGTGCACACGCTATGTCCACACTGCGGCCACGATTACGACGCGGATTGTCCGATGGATAACAAACGCTGCTCTCCGAAATGCACGGTCAGCCGCGGGAGATTCAACGATTTCACAACTACGCGACCGCAACGTCTTCGATCGGAGTGTGGTGGCTCGTGGAAAGTGAGTGGCAATGTACCATTACATTAGTTGACAACGGCAGATCAGATCCTCGACGCTTGTTCTACTTTTGCCGGTCAACTCGAGAATATTAAAGCCGACACTGGAAATACCGAGCGTAATTTCAGGACGCTTATTAAGTAAAGACACGTAGAGCCGGTGCAAATTACGAAAGAGATTTTATGATGATTAAAGTCGTAACTCGTGTAACTCGAGATTAGCTTTTCTGTTTTCTTCGATAACTTTATGGGGACGCGACTGTATAAAAGGATGAATACAGGCTATCTAGGTGTCTTCGTGTTCATGCGACGCTGGCGTTTGCTTTCTCGCACTATTCACGCTGCACTTCTCTCTGAGGATACGATTCACTTAGAGCTACAAACGCTTTGTAATGCGTAAAGAAAGATTATGATTAGCGCTATGTAGCGCTTCAAAGCGTTTGCAGCATCAAGTGGATTCTATACTGACTGTGGCGAACGACCAACGTGGTGGGAAGACCGCGTGGTCGTTGCGACGGCATGGCCGAGTCGTTCATGCTTGCTGCGTGGATTCCCGCGAAGTGGAGATAGCAAACTGTCTTCGCTGCACATGCGCGTGAGATATCGCGACCTACCCCACAGTGCGCGAAAGGATTAACGCTGACCGATCGCGGGTCGATACAAACGTCAATAATTCCACTTGTAGACGTCGTAGAGACTCGAAACAAAAACCATTGGAAAGAAGAAATTACTACGTTTTTGGATGAATGTGAAATTATGAATTAATTAGCATACTTTCTACACACATTAGCATAGTTTCTGCACGCAGAAACATGAATATCTTTTATTTTTTAAATATCTTCTCCCCCAGGACATATATGCTAAAGCGAAAAAAACAAAACAAATTAAATAAAAGTTACTGTGCCATTCCGAAAAAAATACTAAAAACTTTTAATCTAGTAAACATTTTTTTAATTGTATTTTTTGCACAAACAGATTTATATATTTTTAACCAATCAAAGGTTCGTTAATGTGTACTAGTAACCCTTATCATCTGTAGAAGCACGATTTGAGGTGCGACAACGAGACTGACGCGAACGGCAAACGTCTTCATGGACGCGAATCGCGCGAGTCGGAAGTTGCGGAAACTCGGAAACATGGCGGATCATCATTCGGCGACGGCGACAGCGCGGAGTTTGATTTTTGCACGACGTAACCTTGCCGTCGTCGGGAGTGCGGCGGCTAAGGGGTTCGAATCGACCGGGCCCGATGAATGAAATGCATTTGCACACCGGCGAAGCGCGAACTGCTACTTCGTTACTCCACGTAAATTCGATTCTCGCGGAATTCCGAGGAAAGGTGACGACACGAATACATCGGCCGCGGGGAACTTAAATGGAAACTCACGACGCAAATAGTTTCGCACGTGTAGGAAAGACTTGATGCGCGACTTTCTGCCAACTGACGATTTCAGGAGGAGGAACTACGAGACAAGTCCAGAGATGGGGGATAAGACACGTCACAACATCGTTTCATTAATCAGCGCTGACGCATTCTTCTACGTCTTTACTTTGCAGATCACATCGTGCGAGTTTTTTCTAAAAGCATTTCGGCCGTTTTTTCGTTTGAGATACGGTTATTGATTTGTTTACCGTGCATTGGCCGCCCGGTTTTAGATAAGCTTTTGGGCGCACGAGATTTCGTGCGACAACGAACGCTGGAATAAAACTGAAAAACTCTGAAAACTGTGCAACGTAGTGTCCGCTTCGGAATGAAAGCGCGTAATATTGATTATTTCCGTGTCAAAAGTGTAACGCTCGGCTTTTCGCCGAGCGCAAAACTCTTTTTTGTTCAGAACTTGCGTGGTTTCAATCTCGTTTCATTCTGTTTTTCTTTCCTCGTTCTTCTTTCTTCTTCCTCTTTTTTTGTAGGGTCTATATTGACGGTAAATCAAGTTGTGACGTTCTCGCGTGATCGCTAAAATTATTACAGATGCGAGCAAGAGTAACTTCCTTCGGGAATTACGCCAAGGAAGACCGAGCGTAAGGTTTGAATAAACGACGTTGCTCGCTAACGTGAGATTTAGTGGGCGTACCGTAATTTATTGGCGCGTTTAAGGCATAAAATAAACGGGAAGTATGAATGGGCTATCTCTTTCTCTCTCACTTCTCCTCTTTACGCCGGACAACGGCAACATTCGTTCCATTTCCTTATTACCTCATTATCTTATGTCGGCCGACTTGTCTTCGGAGTGCGTCCGGATAATAATTTCCCGGAACTCTTTGCCAGATAGCTCGTAAAAGCGGGAAAAACTCGTGCGCGCACGCGGAATGAATGACTGCGCGAACTTCGAGAATCCCGCTAAACGCGGACTTTCCTCTTTCTCCTTCAGACCGCGAATAGCACCCGGGAAGCGCGCGCCGAAATCACTCAATCAGCCGCGCCTCGTTAATCGCACGAGCGCGCTTAAAACATTGAGGACTCTCTGGGATTAAGTAAGTGTTAATAAGCTGGCAATTAAAGTGAATCGCGATTCCGAGGCGCAATACGATCAAGTGTTTTCGTCAAGTTTCTCACATAACGAAGAACGCACGAGTATGACACATGCGGCGTATCGCGTTATGTCAAAGCAAATCGATATATTTACGCTCGTCTCGCCGTCTTGCGCGGGTATACGCTCGATTAATTACGTCGGACACGTCTCGGTGCTCGGCTTCCGAGTTCTTCGTTTCGGCCATAAGAAATGGGAGAATCATCGGCAGTCCGATTTTTCCCCGTTTTTATCGTCGTCCACCACTGATGGCACACCCCCGCGGCACACCGTAGGACGATTGAACCAAAGGACGGAGTGTCGCCCTCTCTTTCTCTCTCTTTCAGAATGTTCTCCCAAGAACCGGCCGGTAACGTGGGCACGTAACGGACATAAAACGATGAAAGTAATCTCGGCTGCGATCTCGTCGACGGCCGGAATCGACGACGTTCGATACGCTGTGCGCGCGTCCCGTAAAGATGGCTCGGGTGAGATCAATTCCGCTTCTCCGGTCGCGACGCTCCTAATAGAGTTTAGTCCTCTTATTGTCTTCTCTGTGTAGCTGCAGCTTGTTCCCCGGTCTTTGACGGCGAAACTTATGGTCCTCGAACATAATAAATATCTTATAACCAAGGAGGAGAAAGAGGGAAACAGGAACGTTCGCTCTTTCGTCGGCGATCTGGGACGAAGCTACATCGAGCGTAAAATCCAACTCTCGCAAAGACAACGCGGCGAAAATCATTTTCATTTGTCGCGATCTCTCGATCTCAGTGACACTCTCCGTTGGAATCGGCGTGTCAGCTTGTTTCGTAGCGAAAACGTTAATTCATATAAATCCGCGCATCGAAACCGTTAATTCATATAAATATAAAATTTTACCGAAGAAAAAAAAAGTTGACTCGACTCTATCTAGGGCGCTCGCGAGCGTGTAACGAAACGCGTCCCTAGTAAGCAAACCAAATTTTCCTTTTGATTTAATGATTCTTGATTGAGAAGTACTAAACTTATACCAGCATTTAAAATGTATTTTATGTAAGTCTGACGCTTATGACGTATTTATAGTAGATTTACAGATATATAAACTTTTATAAAGTGCTTGAAACGCAATTACTTGATTGCAATATATATTTTTCTGTGTGTGCATCCATTTTCTCAGTTCTATCTCTATTTTCCCGTTTCACTCGAATATCATTCGCGATAACAGTGTCTCCGTTTTTTCTAAGCAGCTCCCGACTAGAAATTTACCCCATAGTTCTAATCGGGTTGACCATAACTGGATGTCGGGTCCATTTAAAGTTATACTGTCGGGTCCTGAAAAGTCACGTAACGCTGCGTCATTATGAGAACCTTCATCAGGTTCATTATAATATCCTCATCAGGCTATACTATTGAATCCCTATCACGTTTTCCCATACAGCACAATAATGTTAAATCAATGTTAAGAAAATGTTGAATTGCACATTGACAATGTCAATATTGCAGTAACATTGAGAAACATTGAATCAACGTTGCACAAATCTTGATATAATGTAAAAATGTCCGCTTAAAAGTTTTCCACGTAGCTTTCGTAAAAAAAACTAATTCCTAATTTTCTTATTACTATTAATTATTATTATTATGTCTTATAATTGCTAGGAATCGAAAGATTGTCAAAACACTCTAAAACTTTCGCGAACCCTCCCTAAATAATTTCAAATCCGAAGTGGTACGCCGGTACCATTCATCCTGACTGCGTTGCTTAACTTGACGATCGAGCGGCGCGCGATAATTCCAATGACTCCAACTATAAAAAGAACCTGATCAATAAAGCATTATGAAATAATATATTAGGATAATACATTAAGGTACTAATATATATCTAATCATTATAACCTTGCAAAGGTCTTCCTTACTCGGTTTTTATCAGTACATGATTAGGTTTACCATAGTAAGGATAAACGAACGCCTAATTAGGACCTTATACATTTCAGATATACCTGATGACAATTTCTAGTCGGGCGGTAGTCGAGACAAACGGAACAACCCTAAAGTAGAGTAGTAAATAAGTAGATAGTAAACTAGTAAATAACGTAGATAGTAAATAACGTGGATAGTAAACTAGAATATGTCAATAACTTTCTTACTCAACTTTTTCGCAAAGCCATAAAATAATAAAAACTGACTAGTTCCCAACACATGACTAGCTTTTCCCGGAAATGTTTTTACTTGAAAATATTATTTTACATGGTATAACAAGCCTCTTGTCGGTGCATTTTGCCAGCAAGAAGATCGGAAGTTCGCCGCGTCGCTCACTAAGATCATAGTCGCGCCGCGATACCAACGACAGCAGTATTCACTCGAACCACAACCTACCGTGGGAGCGCATAATACCGTGGAGAGAGCATCGATCCCTCTCTTTTCGCCGGCTACGATACCGGT